ATTGCGATAGCCTCTGCTGTTTGGAGCATGTGGTACTTCGATGTTTTTGGCAATTTATTTGGCACCCGGTAGATGATTATGGGGAAGGATTCTTCAATGCTGGCTGGCTTTGTGGCCGGTTTGGACAAGATGGTTTAATATCGAACTGTTGATGGTTTTTACTACACCTTTACTTAGCCATACTGGGAGATGTTCTGGAGCACGAAAAATCAAGTTCCTACAGCAACGGCCAATATAGCTCGCTCCACAAACGCAATTGAATTGATAGATACAATTGGAAGTGGCTAATCTAGGTACTTTCAGTCTAGGAATCACCATCGATCGTGTAGAGAATAAGACATGTAGTTTGCCAGCATTAGAAGTTCTCTGAACTGATTTTCTTAACTTCTTAGTAATTATTTCACTTGTTATATCGCCCTTGAATTGCAGTCGTATATAAACAGGCTTCTTGTTTACGGACAGTGAGTAGTCCTTTTCAACTTTCTTAGTCATATGTTTTCTGATGAATTAGTCTGGATAGCTATTTTCGATCAAGGTATCATATAGAATCCTTGCGACATCTTCACTTACCTCTTCGGAGTATATAGCTTTAACCCTGTAGTTGAGGATTCCTTTATGAATTTCCACAAAGCAGTAGGAAGATGCAATTTATTTGAATTGTATGATGTATTTGCGCAAACAACGTATTTCGAACAATCTGATCACACATGCTTGTCTACTTGTCATACGAATTTATATGAAAATAATAAAGCATTAAGGAGTGAGAGAATAGACACAGGTTAAGTTAACAGATTATATTTGAAGGTCGAAATAATAATGAAGATCAGGATAACTGAGAGTGTGAAGTCCATGTATATATATATATATATAATCCCTTAGAGAATAGGAAAAATGATGTCACATCCCACGGTATCTACCAATTTAAATGTACGCGTGGTCTCACATACATAGGAGGGTGTGACTCGTCGACTTCTGCAAGTATAGGTTTCGGAAGCAAATCAAATCCTGTGAACTCATTAGTGGTGCAAAAGACGACCTAGCTCTTCTATTACAAAACAAATCATAGATACAGGGCATAAAAATGATCCCCTTACACTTATTTTGAAGCTATCTATAAAACGTGTTTAGTGTGTAACCTAAAGTTTGTGGAAACTCTAGCGCTCCGCAAGTTTACACCACCTTTATATGTTCAAAACAATTTGTTATCACACTGCTAAAACCTTGTTTTGATAGCAGCATAGATATAATCTTGTGGCATGAGCTACTGATAAAATTTTCAGTAGTAGATACATAAAGAGATGTTCATCGACATAAAAACATCAAATAGCAAGGAGATAGACTTGAAATCAGAGAAAGCGAATAATTCAGTGTTACGCAAAAACACGGGAAACGTGAAAGGAACTCAAATATGAAGGTTAGAAGTAGCACAACATGGAAGATCTGTGCAAATCGTGTTGTGAAGATAAGGTGTACATAATTTGGCCACTTTTTAATTCCTTTACGTTCCTGGTGGAACACAGGGCTTCAAGCTAGAGCTTTGAAGTTTAGGTAGCAGTAATATTCACTTTTACAGGACGGGGTTGTTAGCCTCATGTCCAACCTTCCTTCTTTACCAGTCTTATTTACTGGCTTAGTAAGCTAAAGGAGAGCGTCGGCCGGGGATCGAACCCCGAACCACATGCATGGTTGGCGAGCATCGTACCGCTGACGCCCAAATTGGCTATATAACGATAATAAATTTCAAAAAAACATTCCTTTACCAAGTCTCTTGTCTTCTACCGTCACAATATGATCTCCCTTATTTGGTTTACTGATCTCCACGGTTATTTTGGACATCAATGTAAATAGCTTTATAACTTGACCTACATCTTTCCTATCACCACTGACACTTTCATATAAAATTCCTATGAAAAGTGCGAGTGGGGTCAGATATTTCGATATGTGTTGCTTGCGCATGTAGAATATTACATGATGCAGTAAAATTACTTCTTACTGTTTTGTCGACCAACTCTAGTATCTCATTGCTACATTTCGTACAAACAGTTTTCCACCGTATCAACTAAAGCCTACAATGAGTGATAGACTGTATTAAGCAAATAGACCGATCGATGAAACTTACAAAATAAAAACGCTAAACGATTCTATGTTGATCTATGACAATAAAATAACTTTAAAATGAGAAAAACAATGTTGTTACTGTCTTACACATGACGTAAAAGAATAAAAATATTGAATTCGCAAAGAGGCTGTTATAAAATCTTTCATAAATAAAATAAATACTTTCGTGTCGATATTAAGCGAAAACTGATGAAAAATATATGAGGGTATGAGAAGTTCTACTTGACTATATGTAGGTTAATGGAATAGACGCCGTTTAGTTTACTAGGCAGTCAGTCCTAAGTCCATGAAAACACTGAAGGTTCAGCTTGGGGCCATGGAAGCTTCAAAGCACAGACATAGCACTTCACGGAAAGCATTTGTGTAGTTGTATAGGGAGTGCGGTAATCAACATTATCAACACGGGTCATTCCATCTCAACAAACGCCTCCTCCTTCAAAGTGAAGAACAACTTACCAAAGGCAATACGCTTTTGTCTCCTTTGTATTGCTGAAGCCATAGCCATTCAGTTGGAGAAACCAGAGTTATGTATACAAAATAAAATCATCCAACCAATTCTACTAACATTGGTAACAACCATGTTGACTTCTACTGACTTGATGTTTGTGTGCTTGTTTTCCTCTTTTTTTCTAACTCCTTATAACATTTGTAATTTTTAGAACTCTTACATAATTCTATATTTTCCTTTGTTTCTATGTGCATCCTAATCACAACTCACTCATTAAACTACTCATCTTATTGTGCAACTCTACTACGCTTATTCAGCTTCTTTTATATGTTGTCTTGGCAACACATCACCACTACCCTCTTACCAATCTTCAACCCCTCCCTAGTTACGGTTTGATTACTCATCACATTTTTGAAATATCTTGACAACAATAACCCTAACTAACTTTTATCCTTATCGGACAAACCTAATGTACACATACATATATACAAAAAGTATATATAATTGCGATTGTACTGTTAAGCGAATGAGTTCGCCGTCGAAAAGAGACTCTTCGCTGGACTACGTGTTTTGTTTTCATTAATGTCTGGATGGGGATTATTCACGAATGAAAGCATTTCCAGTAGGCTCTCACTGGAGATCAGATGACGTAACTAGAAAGCGACGAGTTGGGTGCCCAAGGGTGACATGGAGGATATTCATATAAGGAAGAAGTGAAAGCTTATGGATAATCATGGTGAAAACCCCCCCAAGGGAAGACAGAGTGAAATAGCGATACGCTGCTCGAGTTCTATGTTCAGCTCGGAACACGAAGGAAATAATAATAATAATGGAATACTCTTCGATGTTTGATAACAGCTATAGCCTCAAAAAAAGAGGTCAGGAATGGAAGTCACTAAGAAGGAAACCTAGTGGTCTAATGGCTAACGTTTTCTTTAAAGAACACATTCTTTTTGAAGAAGTGTCACTGGCTTATTTAAGCACATTGTAAGAAATATTATAGACTAATCGTTTGACAATGAACGATAACGACTTGTGATGAAAACTGCTTCACAAAAGATGTCATGGGAATAGCAGAAAGATTTAAAGTTAATTTCAGAGAGGTTATATAACAAAATATCAAAAACTATCAGTAGCGAGTCTGTCAATTTAATAATCGCAAACTTAAACTGAAAGACTCCAACTAACTTGAAATAATACAACAGGTCTTTACTTATTATCTTATCATATCAATCGTATGCATAATCCCTTAGTAAACAAATAAGTACGTAATTATTATTATTGTTTCCTTCAATTCCTAGAGGAACATAGGGCTTCAGCCGTGCGTCTCCATTGCGTTCGGTTCTCTGCTAGAGTCTTCACCTGGCTCCAAGTCTGCCCACACGCCTTCATCTCCTCTTCACATGACCTCCTCCAAGTCACCCTTGCATTGACGACCAACTCGCCGCTTCCCTTTCGGCCGGGTTCCACTCGAGCAATGGCTTGTCTAGTGATGTTACTTGATGGTTTCCTCAGAGTATGGCCAGCCAATCCATCTCCATTTCTTCCTGCATATTTGTTTTACAATCGGTTCCTGCTGTGTTGGTTCGCTCATTGCCAGAGATCTCTGTTGCTGATCTTTTCTGGCCAGCCATCTGATCTTGAGTATTGAGCGAAGACAACTGTTAATGAAGGTCTGTAGTTTGTTTGAGATGCTCTTTATGACGCACTGACCAAGTCTCTGATCCGTATAGTAAGTAGCACTGACTTCACATTGGAGTTGAAAATCCGGATCTTATTTTTGATTCTGAGTGTTGTTGACCTCCACACAGACTTGAAGTACGTAAGCCTAGATGCAAACTCTGTGAGATACACTAATGCAAAATAACATGAGTTGTGAATTTGTAACTATGATTTCTAAGTATTCATTTGTAGGGATTTGATTGGTTCCCAGCTTCATCACAGATTGTTATTGAAAAACCAGAAGGGGGTACTGGACAGCTGTTTCGTCTTATTTTATGACTCTTTATCAACACACCCCTATGACCCTACCATTAGGGATCGAACCCTAGGACCTTCAGGTTACCAGCTCAGAGAGCTTGTTGAGCATTCAGCCATCAGAAGGGAATCCAATGGCCCATAAATCGACAGAAATCAGGCGGCTCACCTTGTGACGTGAAGTTCGTGGGTTCGATCCCCCCCGTCCTGGCGGTGGGGGCACTGGTGCGTGCAGACGGAGAATCTCAAGCTAGGACGAAACATCTGCCCGCTACTTCCTGGTTTTCAATGGTTCTCCAAATTATATCAATCCGTGACCAAACTTGAGGCTATGATTTTGCTTGAGAATAGAAATACAGCGTGTTAACTGTTCAGAAGAGTAAAGGGCACAAAATATCTAGACCTTCTTCCGGTTAAAAAAACATGCCTGTTTCAAAAAGAAACACAACAAAGGCAATAAACGACGATGATTTTATTTGTCTCAAAATATGAAAAGATTAATTTAGAATGGTGATAAAATAAAACCTTTTTCTTTAAAGAAAATGTTGCACAGCCGAAAGACATAAGATAAACTGAGGTTATTACTTGCTAATAATCAATGTAGCAACAACTGTTGGTCAGGAAAAACGCACACAAAAAAGATCAAAATAACGCAAAAATACTGAACGAACGAATGAATAAACAACAAAAAAATAATTATATCTCCGAGTAGAGATTCACACAATGGCAAGGCGACGGGGTTGCGGTGAGAAAAGAGTACACAGATAGTTTTCACAGCCTTTGAGAAAAAGTACGGCAAGTAACAACAGACAGGGGAAAAAAAGAAGAAAGAAATGCCACATTATTTTATGTAGAAAAAAAAAAAACAAACAAATTAGTTTTAATATTTGTATAAAGTTTTACTATCAGCCGAACGAGTATCACCTGATGCTATCATATCATAACCATTCCAACCAGCTAGAAAAACACGACCAGGCCATTTACGAGTTGACAGAGTTTGTATAGGATGACCGAATCCTTCAAGATGTTTCAATAACTTTGGATTATTATTATCTGGTGTTTCAACAGTTATTGTCCCAGGATTACGTGTATTGTACTCTGGATGCAGACGAGATAATGATACAGATATCTCTGGATTAATACAACTATTTTCTGTTGCTGGACTGAAGACAGCCCGGCCAAGTAGTGGAGTAGATGTTTGTTCCTTAGTTGTAGATGAACCTATACCGAATTCTGTAGTCGGAGATCCAAAAGTTCGAATTGAAGCCTGACACTTTGAATTTCGTAGGAATAAAGCTGCATTACTTATCACCTGATAAAAAACACGAGAAGAAAATACACACACACCTTCAATGAGTAGTTGAATTAAGGAAAAGAAAAAGGTGACTCCTTGACTTAAACAAATAAGATCCTGGGCTATAAACATACCAAGCGCTACTTTTAGCTTTGTACATAGAAAGTTCGTACGGACTAAGAGGGATTATTATTATGATCTTGGACAACAGTGGGGACAAAATAAGTACATACAATCAAACATGCGGTAACTTCCTATGCAAAAACTGATAGTAACAGTAACAGGGAAACAAAATCAGTGACTGGACAAACAAATTTTCAACGTAGAACGTTTGCACAAAAGTACAACAGTCCAGGTAGTCGTACTTCATAGAGCACATAGAAATGTTAAAAAAGAAATATAAAGAGGCCAAACCTAACCTCATTATTACCTACCATAATCCATCATTTAACATGGGAGGTAAAACGCAAACACATATGATAAAGGACGACTGACCTCTTCAGGTTTTCCATTTTTAACAAATATAAAGAGGCCTAGAGAGAACTGGTGTGCAGTACACACGTCCTTTGATCGGTAGCCAGATATCACGTATACACCACAGATGGTGTTAGTTGGCAAATGCCATACGAACCTTTTGTATCTGAAATGATATTTTGTTAGTAATCAGTTCCAAAATAAGTCAACTGGTTAACACACTCAACCACTTCCCTCCCTATCTTTAAGTTGGGGATCGGTGTAGTCCAGTCCCTATCATCATCTTACGTTTAATAGAGGCGAATCACATGCCAAAGATACCAAGATTTTCGTTTAGGGTGTTAACAAGACTGCACATTTTGTCAGCATCTTCACCTAAAAGGATAATATCACCTGCATACTCAAAGCTGACGGGACTATTCCGCGGTAAAAAGTCGCTAAAGTCAATCAGAGTAATACCCATCAGTACATCTGTGATAAGAATTGAGTAAAAATGTAAACATCGAGCATCTATGACGGATGCCACTGGTTGTCATGACTTCAGATGACAACTCTTCATAAGCTCTTGCGCAGCTGATCCAGTTTAAGCAGACTGTATTCAGTAGTGCGATATACTTCTTCTCGCACAAGTTCCGGGGCCAAACATTTTCAAAATAACTCTTAATCGAGAAAGTGAACAGATATGGCAAGTTTCAGACGCTTGTAAGTATGTCTACGCTTCAGAATCTATCTAAGAGTGAAGATATGACGGATACACTTTCGTCTGGGCTCAAAGCCCACCTGGTTTTCACAGGTTTGTTCCTCGCGAGCACCACCTAGTCTGTGCAAAATTTCATGCCAGTCAAACTGACCTGTCTGTAATTATTGCAGGAAGACTTGTCACGCTTCTTACAAACTAAGATGATCAGTGAATTGTACCACTCCGGTGGAGAACCAGTAGTAAATATTCCCAATTAGCTAAATTGTCGTTCACTTTTAACGTACAAAATGTTAGGAGTTGATTAACACGACATATAATAAATTTAATTTCAACATGAGAGTGAACTATAGTGCACCACAGTGTTATGTTACTTGGTTTACAAACCTTAGATAAATATTGCGCAACTGACAACTATATCGGTTACTATCTAAAAATCTGTTCGTATAACTTTATATTTCATCATAATGAATCACTGAGAACCAAAAAAAGCAACAGATAGATAGCGAAGAGTTCTAAATTGAGACTAAACAACTGTCCAGTTTCTTTTGGTTTTTAATGATGCTGTCTATTTCGTAACGTACTTTTAATTTACAGTTGAAACACATCACGTTGTAAAAAAAAATAAAAATGCTGCATAGCAACGGATTACTGGAGGATCAACCGCTTGAATCTTTCTCTCACTTGGTCTACAAACAATCTTTTCTAGTAGCCAGACCATCCATTGAAAAGTGTGTTAGGAAGTTTACTTGCTCCTGTGTTACTAGTTTTACAGAGTACACATAGAGCACTTGCTATCCAAAAAGGATCGTTAAGCTTAATTACATAATGCTTATTAAAAGAAGAATTAAAAATTAAGTAGCTTTATTTAATTCAATTTTAGATTTTCCCGTCGATTGATTGGACCGAAGTGCTCGGCCCCAGGTTGACATGTCAGCTTCTTGTGCAGATGCTTCGATGATGTCTGGGCATGTAATTAGAAGTTAATTGGTGGATGGTGACTAGTAGTGGAATCCAGGATGCGCATTTCGTCCTATTTGGGACTTGTCAGCTAACTGGATGTACCTGCATTTCCCAGTGAGTGATGATGTTCCCACCGAGGCTCGAACCCAGTGCAAATAGTTTCAAACGCCAAAGCGTTATCCACTAGACCACTTGGGCCACAAGAGTCACTCCGTTCTTGTGCAACGGGTCATATTAATTATTTAATTGAATTTGAGATTTTTCTGTCAATTGATTGGACCGAAGTGCTCGGTCTAGTGGATAACGCTTTGGAGCACTGGGTTCGAGCCTCGGTGGGAACATCATCACTCACTGCGGAGTGCAGGCACATCCAGATGACGAGTCCCAAATAGGAGGAAATGCACATCCTGGATTCCACTGCTAGTCACCATCCACCAATTAACTTTCAAGTAGCTTTAGTTAAACAACCTCCTCCCCTAAAATCTTCCTTTAAAATAAATATTACAGTCAATAAAAAAATGATTCAAAATGAGTACGGTTCGTCAACATTTGAACGACAGAAGTACTGGCTGATGCGCCGACTGTTAGTGTATCATATGTGTGTGTGTGAAGGTAATTGATCATTTTATGCAAAACAAATACATGATCCTAACGTTTTTATGAATAATTTTCACAAGTATTATGTGAAGACTGTGAAGTGTGACAGAAATCAGTGTTTGCAAAGTAAACCATTTATACATGAATACGTTGGCAATTTTATCATATGTTCTCAAAAATGTTCTAGTCGAGAGGAGAGTTAGTGTCAATTAAATACTAATTACAATAGGTGGAACTTAGTTTCGCCGAAAAATCAATTTCTCAAATACCAGGCTATGAGCCATATATGATTTATGAGGGCTGGTAATACTACTGTGGTGGTGTGATACAGACAATTTGTTCCAACGGAATATTATTCTCACATATTCCCCACGGTTAAATATATATATATATATCAACAGCGGTTTGATTAATGAAAAATATACCTTGGCTTCCGTATCTTGCCTTCTGTTTTTACGCTATTTATTTGATTAGGCTGAAGTAGGTGGAACGGGATTCGAACTCGAGACTCATTGGCTGAAAGTTGAGTGCTTAAATCAATGAGCTACATTTTCGCACCGATCTGCTTTCCTGAATACAACAACTCAAGGTCGATACTGTTAGGGGAAGTAGTCCAACTAATTTAGTGCTGAGCACATCATGTCCCGCAGTCCGTATATATTTCAAAACTCTACAACACACGCTGCTGTGGTACTTGTAATTAACTGGAGTGAAATAAAGACAGACAAGGAGCTGTGGAAAGTCCATAAAGAGTCAGAATTGAAATTGACCACTGAAAAGGAGACACTCCTCATCTCAACTATATTGGTTTTCCACTTCTGTCGATCTACTCTTTCTTGTGAAATGTGGTACAGCATAGCAATGCGTATTTGTTTTGTGAGTCGGTGGCATAGCGGTTAGGACACTCGCCGACCATGCACATGGTCCGGGGTCCGATCCCCGGCCGACGCACTCCCTTACCTCGCTAAGCCAGAAATAATGCTGGTGAAGAGGAAAGGTTGGACATGAGGCCAGCAACCCCATCCTGTAAAATAAACACTGCTACAGAAACTTCAAGCCACTAGTTTGAAGCCCTATGTCCCACTGCGGAACGTGAAGGAAAAAAAATAGTAATGCGTATTTGTTTCGAGTTGCGTTGTTACATCTGTCTGTGAGAGGTTACCACTCTCCTTGATAACATGAGTGTGTATGACAGAATAAAACGCGAGGCCACTGTGTTTCATTGGCACTAGGATTCTCAAAGACAGTTGGATGACAAACTTTGAATTTCAGACAAATTTCCAGTGCCAATCAAACTAAGAAGTTGACAGTTTCATAGATTATTCATCTCTTATAATGTGATCATGGTGTTACTCTTTTACCTCACCTCTATTCTGTTAAAAGAAATTACTTATGAAATATAAATATTTTTACTAAAATAATTTACTTGTGCTGCATCTGTGAGACCCCATAATCCATCATTTGAAGCAACACCGACACGTGTACCACATTTTCTATGCGTAGTAGATACATAGGTTGGTCCGATAGGCACTAGAGGTCGACGTCCAGCAGAGAAGTTGTTTAATTTCGATTCAGAGAAAAGACGTAGAGCAGAATTCAAATGAACACCAGTGCCTGGTACAACTTTTCCACTGCCAAACGGTGACCCCATGTATACATTACCAACAACTGTAAAACTAGTTGAATCTGTGGTTACAACTCCAGTACCACCAATACTTGAGCCTTCCTATAATATAAATTATTAAACAAAATGTGAAGACAAGCAGTTTAACTTTAAGCAATAATGTAGTGAAATCAACGATTACAAGTCAGTTCAATGAAAACACAATTTGAGCATTAATTCTATGCTAACAATGTATAAAGAAAATAAGAAGAGAATGAATGAAGGACATCATTCAGAAAGCAAGCATACTCATCAAGACTATTCAACATTCATCACTTCATGTTACTTTCAGAAAAAGAAGTATGTTCACCATTGTTTGAGATTCTTGAACATATCTGGCAATGTTTTGAGGCACCAATTCGAAATACTTCTAGGACCTCAACCAGAGAGTCATGATGTACTAACGGATACTAATCTAACACCAATATCTTTCACCTCACAGTGCCACGTCATGCAATGACCATCTTTCGGCCTTTTCCATCCAGTCCCATGTCTAGCGAACAGCGACCGGTACGGGAACCTCTGGAGTGACAGTCGTAGCACATGTCCAGTCCACGGAAGTTGGTGTTGCAAGATGACTACACCCAGGGTGGTGACCTCACCATATCCAGATACACGCTGCCAGATCTCAGAATTACTTACATGATGATATCATCGGACACAAGCAGTTCTACAAAGGCACCGGTGGTCGAATATACAGAGTTGCCGGGTATCGTACTTCTAGGAATCAGTCTTATAGTACGTATCACTAGGAAGTCAAACCTGGATGAAATATTTAGCTCAGAAATAACACATATCTAGCTACTTCAAATACTTTTTACAAGTGATTCCATGTGAGTGAAAAACTTGACATAATAATTTTATAATATTTTCAAAATAATAAGTTTTGACCATATATCATCTGTCGTAAGTTGGATGATGCGATCTTTGCGATTCAGCATGAGATAATGTCGCGAATACTGAACAAACATCAACCTTGTCTGTGGAAATAAAAGAAATCTACCTGTTTCAGCTGAAGGATATGCGGTGGTACTCATTGACAAAGGTTTTCAGGTTGTTGAAACTAATATCAACAAGGTCTAGTCAGTGACCAATACAGGTTTATACGCCATTTGATCCGATTGGATTCTGGAGCTCATATACCCCATAGTAACTGCTTTTAGTCTAACCGCTATCCAAACAGCCATCCTGAAATGGTAGGACCTACAGGAACATGAGTCCCAGCCACTTTAGCTTGTTGGATCATTGCGGTATTTAAGCTGGACCACATTGACAAGGTAGCAGTTGTCGGTCGGTTTCGTTCAGGCTATGGATGCATTGATCATGTGTTCACCCTTCGTCAGTTGTTGGAACACCGCCACAAGTATTGCAGGCCAACAATCGTTGTGTTTCTTGATATTAGGGCTGCCTTCGATTCGTTGGATAGAACTGTGCTCTGGAACTGTCTGTTAGAGAGGGGTGTACCTGAGAAGTTTGTGAACATCCTGAAAGCTCTATACAGAAACACTTCAGGTAGAGTGAAGACATACAACCAACTATCCATCACTGTTCCCAACCAACAGTAAGGTTAGACAGGGTTGTCCAATCTCCCCATTTCTCTTTAGCTTTGCCATCGATGACATTCTGGAGTCAGCTCTGAAGGTGGTGCAGATGTGTACCCTGAGAGAGACGTTTTGACCTCGAGTATGCAGATGATATCGTTTTACTGTGCAATAGCATGCAGGCTGTCCAAATCGCAATTAATCACTTGGCGATCAGTGTCTGTAAGTATGGTATGTGCTTCGCACCATCTAAGTGCAAAGTACTATTACAAGATTGGCAGGAGCATGTACCTGCACTCACTCTGGCAGGTGAATCACTCGACAAGTTCGTGTATCTGAGTAGTTATGTGAGTGCTGGCGGAGGTGTGACTTATGAGATTTCCAACCGTATCATGAAAGCTAGGGTGGCATACGTCAACTTGAGCCACCTCTGGCGACGTTAGTCGGGCTACCAAAGGTCAGGTTTACAATGCTTCGGTGTGTTTCGCCTAGCATCATGCCTGTGAAACCTGATCTCTCCGAGCTGAGGATTTGCCGTGACTCTGAGTATTCGATCATGGCTGTCTTCGTAGGGTCGCTTGCGTCCGATGGAATAATCACATGAGTAATTCTGAGGTCCGGCAGCGTGTGTTTGGACATAGTGGAAATGACCATTCGTTGAGTGTCGTCATCCAGAAACACCGGCTTTGGTGGCTTGAACATGTGCTACGAATGTCATCCCAGAGGCTTCCGTACCGGTCTCTGTTCGCTAGCCAGCGCTGGGACGGGATGGAAAAAGCGCAGAGGTGAACAGCCCATGACATGGCGTCGTGGGTCGAAGGATATTTGTGGTAGGTTAGCATCGGTTGGTGCCTCACGACTCCCTGGTTGGAGTTCGAGAGATAGCTCAAGTCGGTGGCTCTACACTTTATCGGATATGGTCAAGAATCGCGATCAATGGCGAATGTGCTACAATTTCCTTCTTTCTTCCTTTTCCGACAATAATCGACGAAAGCTATTTGAACTTGTTAAATATGACTGTTTTCCTCTCAGATGAAGTACTTTATCCGTTCTTTAGGTATATTTTTACTGTTAATCTATGTTGTTTTATTATTATTGTGTGATGTATCTTCTTGGTGCCATATTGTACCAAGTTTTTGTGTTTAAATAAATAAATAAATTTTATTTCGTAGGTTCTCTTCACCCGCAAATTGTTCCATTTATCACCTTGGACTATTGGAAACACTAGATATTTTGTTTATGTGGAATGAAATTGTCAACAATTCATAATTAAAAAAACATGGAGTATGTAACACAAATTCTTTTAATAATAAAATAAATATTTCCTTCTTATACTGCCAGAAACATAGCGTAGTAAAAAGTTTAAATACAGTTGAATACTGACTGTATAATATGCAGAAATCAAATATAATAATTAGAAGTAATTTACCTTATCTGTAATAAGTTCTTTAATACTGAAGGGATTCAAGAAAATACATATTAGTTTATCTTAAAGTCATACGAAATTATGACGCTATACAGGAATTATAATTTGAATTAAAATTATAAGAGTAAAGAAGTTAGTAGACAGGTCTTGAATCCAGATAACATACTTCCTTATCACTTAGTGACAAAACGGTATCTATGATAGACCAATTGGCATAAAGTTCACACTATACGACACAAGAGATAGACAACTACACGATGATGCGACATACCGAGTAATTGACGACGGAAAACTAACCGAATTCCTTGAAGTGAATACAAGAGTAAGACTAGGCCGTCTCCTTACTATCACCGATAATATTTCTGACTATGGGGAGCAAGAAGGTGGATATATACAGTGAACCGACAAGAAGATTCTAGAAGATCTGAACTTTGTGGATGATTTATGCATTGTATCACACGAACTCGAAGATCTAGAGGAAGAGACTGACAGCGAAGATAGGACTTCAAGTGAACATAGACAAGACAAAAGTAGTGAAGACGCCTAACCAACAACAACAACAACAAGCATGAGTCACCATCATCGGGGGGAAATCTAAAGGAAGTAGTCACCTATCACACTTACCTGATATTGACAGTATCTCTTTAACAGGCGGGGCACGGATGAAGATGTTGGAGCCATTCAGGATAAGAAAAGCAAGACAAACCTTCACTATTCTGAAATCAGTGTGGTAATCTACTGTCTTCAGCATAAGGTACAAAATCTGGATCTTCATTACTAATGTCAAATTACTGCTTCTATATGGCTTCAGAGACTTGGTTCCAGCGTTACCGAAAGCACTTCCAACACGCCGCTGCAGACTTTCACCAACACCTCTGCCCCCTTTGCTTAATACTGAAGATCAGACAGCCAGCCAGTCAGAAGGGATATGCAACAGGGAACTGTAACTACGAACCAACCAACCAACAACTTACCACCCACCAAATTCACAAAAGGAAATAGGGATGGATTGGACACACACTTCAGACTATGTATTTCGGTATATGAAGGTACTTCAAGAAATAAGATAAATTCATTTGAAGCTGCAGAGAGTAATAAGAATACAAAAGGCACAGAATTACAAAGGTAGTAGTAAAAACAAACTCCAATTTTTCAACTGAATATAATATATATATATATATATCATCTTTGTTACTCAACAAACTTACCGAAGTTGTCTGAAGGACATCAAGGAGTGAATGTTCTGGCACTATATTATTATCTTTAATACTGGTCACAGTAGCTTCACGTGAAGATTTAGAAAACAAAGAGTTCTGGGCATTTGTAGCAGCATCACCTATAAAACAGTGTTAATTGATACATGTATAATATATGATCTACATATTGAACTGTAATGATATTTATGTAAAAGAAGCCCAAGATAAATTCACCGATCGATCCTTGAGTATGAAGATGAGCAAAAACAAACTTCGATTGTACAGAAAAACAAAGAGTCTTATGGATATATACAAAACGCAATCATCCATTATTTTATTTGGTGGATAGTGACTAGCAGTGGATGTGCATTCCGCCCTATTTACGACTCTTCATCTAGATCTACCTGCAATTCTATAAGAGCGTATAATGCTTTGGTGTTTGGGGTTCGAGTCTCAGTGAGAATATCATCACTCGTCCTTGGGGGGGGGATTGTAGGTGCGTCCAGCTGATGAATCCCAAATAGGATGAAATATGCATCCTGGATTTCACTGCTTGTCACCATCCATTCACCAAATAACATTATGTCAATTCTCAGAAATCATCGAGGCGTCCATACTAAGAGTTGACATGTCAACAGAGGCTGAACGTTCCGGTCTAATCAATCAATAGGAAAAATAAAATTGACCTAAATAGAACAATCATGCGTTACTGATTAAAGAATGAGTGGTGTTATACTTCCATAACTGTGATAGACCAACCTGAATACCGTCACTGAAACATGTAGAATGGAAATAACTACCACTTGAAGAATCGTTGTTATTATGTAGAAGAGCCTTGTAGATTTTTTTTTATTCCTTCACGTTCCCAGTGGAACATAGGGCTTCAAGCTACAGGCTTGAAGTTTCTGTAGCAGTGGTGTTTAGTTTTACGGGATGGGGTTGCTAGCCTCATGCCCAACCTTCTCTCTTAACCAGTCTTATTACTGGCTTAGCGAAGTAAAGGAGTGCGTCGACCGGGGATCGAACCCCGAACCACCTGCGTGGTCGGCGAGCACTCTACCGCTGTGCCACTGACGCACCTTGTAGACTTGGTTCTTTTAAATAATTGTACAAACGTATTTTATACATAACAGTAGTCATTGCAGATATGTGAATAATGTGCTAGGGTTGGTTTTTGATATTTTCAAATTTGTTCAGTTGGTCTTAACTTCGGCAATACGATGGTATTACAGATGATAAGTTAAGCATACTGTACAACTACTGAACTACTTTTGCGAAGTTACATTGTTATTTTATTGGAATAAACCAAGACAGAACATGGGATTACTAAGTACAATTTTATTGACATGAAAAAACAACTCAAGCTTCAATTGAGATGATTGTTGAGTTTGAATCCTATTTGACCTGATTCAGCTTGACCGACTGAGTAGTATCACAAGCTTGCAAACAGTAAGTGTAACTTTTGACCTAGTGGATTACAAATAAACTCATATAATCCCTGTGATCATTCTAGGGTGATTTCAGTCCTGAATTGATATTGATGAAATAAAAAAGAATCAAGATGAGAAATTCCCATGGAAAAGAAAATAAGGGACTTCAAAGAATTGGCAGAAGTTAGAATTAATGAGCCATCGAATCGGGTCCCAGTGGCTGAATGGTATATGAGCTTGCCTTGTAACCGGAAAGTCCTGGGTTCGAACCCCAGTGGGTGCGTACTGCCTATGATTCCCAAACTAGAATGAAACAGCTGTTCAGTACTCCCTGGTTTTCAATGGTTCTCTAACTGATATCAATCCGTGATCAACTCGTAAGAACTTCAAAGAACTAAATGAGTTTTGAGAAAATATTAATATCACTTTCACCTACACAACTTGTGGTAAACAAACTATTTATTTAATTTTGCTATATGAAATTATTTTTAACAAGAGCACTTGAAGATAAAACACACACACACATAACGTTTACAACTGTAACAATAAAACACCAGAATTGGATTTTTAAAGAATATTGAAAATCATATCTTTCAGTAAGACATAAAACAGAAGATAAGCTGATTAGTTGAACGCTGGATGTAAAATAAAAGAAGAACTTACGTATCTTAGGGTCATCAATATCTCCAAGTGTGGCAACTGATGCTTCAGCTAAACGAGATAATTCAGCCAACCGATGCAGGTAGATAGCAGTCACATAAGGGTCTGCTTTAAGTAATGCCTCATGATTCAGTGCATTCATAGACTCTTTAAGATCTAGATTACCCAAAAGAAGTAGGAGGTAGACTCCACCGACCAATGGAGGAGGGAAAGATTCTATAGTGAAACCTGCAAAACCCATCTAAAATAAACAAAGGAACAATAAATTAGGAGTATTTATTTTATAAAAAAAAAACTATGTTAGCAAAGAATAAACAAACGCATGATTACATTAGTTGTTGACTGCTATAAAAACAATGTCTTAATAAAATATTTCTTCAATTAAGATTTCATAAAATATTAGAAGACAACTGTATTAGGACATTTTGGTAGGATTTGTAGCTTTCTCGAAAGCATTTATCATGTATTATTATTATTATTTCATGTGGAAACCTTGCTGGAGAACTTAGTGAATGATTGTATCCATCCTTTTAAATTTCCAACAATTAAAGTATGAATTTCGGACTAGTAATTTACAATTATTTGTCCAATAGAAAAGTGCAGACATACTTTAGGATAACTCAGAGCTTATCCAGCAAAAGCCGGAACCAGAGTACAAAGAAAAAAAAACATGAATCACCTGGCACAGGATTGTGGATTACACGATGAGCCACAGTCACTACACATACGGTTAAATGACACAGCTTAGCTGTAAAGACCTCGGGATATGTAAGAGGGTTCGAAACCAAAGCCCAGTGCATAGACCAATGGGTCACTTAACAGTTAAAGCCCTGAAACAGACTTTTGTGGTTTTCTTCACAAAAGTGAAAGGGCAAATGAGAACGTCTGGTACTCACAATCAGACTGATGGACATGCTAGTCTACCTAGGAGAGCTGGTAAACCCTGATTCCATCCTATGGTGTATATGGGCTCCAGAATTCGGAAGGATAGAACGGTGCATGAACCTGTATTGGTTACCGGAAACCATGGGAACACAACTCCTGACGCTACTCCACCGCCTTGTGGATCAGACTTCAAGTCCAAGACTCCGAAGGGGGGTGACCCCTTAAGACGACTACCTGCTTCGGTCTGAGTATCCGGGCAATATACTCGCACAAACTATGAGACTTTACATGACTTATCTTTTAGTGGCAATAATGTACCAGGTTTGTGCTTTAATAAAAATAAATAAAAGGCCGTCGAATGAAAGTAGTAAAAAAACTAATTTACCAATTATAAGCCATATAAATACGTCAACCAGTGAAGAGGATATTTGCAACAAAGCGACTTGACCAACTGAGAGATTTAGGAGAAAATATAGTTAACTAATTATATTTGGATGGCATCCTATGAATCTCCACAGCAAGATCCAATCCACAGAAAAAATATAGCGAAGTTTCATGAAAGATGATTGCTTACAATGCTGAGATAAGCGCTATTAACAAATTCTGATAAAAGAACAATTATCTAATGGATTCGTATAATTATTTAGTTTAAGCTATTGGGTTCATTGCAGTCGGATGTAGTATTATTAGCCCATGAATAATAGGGATCACTTTTTAGTTTTAAAGTGATCATATATAAGCAGATTGATATCGAGTGAGGATAACATTTCAGTCATGCATTTTAACAGTTGGGATATGTGCATTGTCAGTTTCAACTATTTACAAGTATCTTCGCAGCCTAATCCCTTAACAGTGATTACGTTGGATTTCAGGCAGTTTTTCTCTTGGTATAAACGTCGCTACTGTCCCCCTATTGCTACTCAATCCACTAGTGACGCTACTGTAGACCTCATATGCATTCCTGTAAGTATCTAAAGTAGGTACCATCATCATCTCTAAAAGAGATGTGGTTTGTTGCCCAGTACCCGCTACATAACTACAGTCAACTCGCTACTTTCCTGGACTTTGATACAATCCTCTCTAGATAAAAATAGAGTGTAGAAAAAAAAGCTTCATAAAGATAATCCAAAATTCCAACTGACTTTTGCTACTTTTCGTAGAATTATAAACATGAATTTTCATACTTCAAGAAATGATGTTATACAGTTCTTTAAAAAAAAAATAAAAACCTAGAGAGACAGACAATGAGATAATTGATCAAAGTTTCAACTACACAATCAACTTAGACAATTGTAGTCAACTTGATTGATTTAGAAACAGTTTTCACCACTAATAAAAAATTCTTTAGAATACTAACAGGAACCAAAGCTGTTAAACAGTGTACAACTGTCAAAGCAGCTGAATCATAAGATCTTCACACCTTCCAGGAGTATGTTACCACTGTAAACATTCTATAAGAAAAATATATCATCTTGTCAATTGTGTCAGAGATTATTATTATTGTAACCTTTAATTCCTAGAGGAACATAGGGTTTCAGCCGTGCGTCTCCATTGAGTTCGGTTCTCTTCTAGAGTCTTCACCTCGCTCCAAGTCTGCCCACACGTTTCCATCTCCTCTTCACATCACCTCCTCCAAGTCACCCTCACCCTTGCACTGACGACCAACTCGCCGCTTCCCTTTCGGGTTCCACTCGAGCAATGGCTTGTCTAGTGATGTCACTTGATGGTTTCCTCAGAGTATGGCCAATCCATCTCCATTTCTTCCTGCCTATTTGTTTCACAATCGGTTCCTGCTGTGTTGGTTCGTTCCCAAAGATCCCTGTTGCTGATCTTTTCTGGCCAACCATCTGATCTTGAGTATTGAGCGAAGACAACTGATAATGAAGGTCTGTAGTTTGTTTGAGATGCTCTTTATGACGCACTGACCAAGTCTCTGATCCGTATAGTAAGTAGCACTGACTTCACATTGGAGTTGAAAATCCGGATCTTATTTTTCATGCTGAGTGTTGTTGACCTCCACACCTAATTGAGAGTAGTGAAAGCTTGTCTTGCTTTTTCGATTCTTGCTTTGATATCCTCGTCAGTTCCGTCCGCCTGTAGTTGAGACGATGCTTCCCAGGTAGGTAAAAGAGGTTGTTTCTTTCCGGTTCCTTCTATTTATGCTGATTGTTGTTGTTGCTGTTGGTAGTGTTGGCCACGAATCCTCATCACCTCTGTCTTCTCTATGTTCACCTGAAGTCCTATCTTTGATGCTTTTTCTGCCAGCTTGTTGCTTTTCGCTTGCATATCTTCCAGTTTGTGTGAAATCAGAAATATACCATTTGCGAAGTCCAGATCCTACAGGTTTTTTGTGTGAGTCCATTTTATGCCTGTTTCCTCATTGCCCGCTGTCAGAGATTATTAAGCATGAGATTTTCCTCTGAGGTGACGAAACAGTCTATGCCAAAAAATGGACAGACATAATGAAGATGTTCATGGTTATTATAACATTCATCTTCTATAAAGGACATTTTTCATTAAAAGATATCATCCATTTCAATTAAGTTTGGAGAATTGGCTTACTGGCTTAAGCACTTGGCTTTCAGACAATAGGGTCCCCGGGTTGAAATCTCTCTTCGCCTACTTTAACCTAGGCGACTGGGTAGTATCATCAGACACTGACGAAATCTCAGCACGGATACAGAGGGCTAGTTTCGCATATGCCAGTTTAGGCCGTCTCTGGCTTAGTAGACGTGATATCCGGCTGGCTATCGACCAAAAGGTGTGTGTATTGCTCGGCAGTCCGCTCCGTCCTCCCTTATGGCTGTGAGACCTGGCCTTTGAGAGTGGAGGACATGAAAAGGCCATCTGTCTTTGATCATATGTGCCTGCGTTCTATTTCCAGTGTGGAGTGGTATAATAAGGTGAGCAATATTGAGGTTAGGCGTCGAGTGCTAGGTGAGGAGGGGAAATCAACCAACGAAGCTGTGAAGCTACATCGACTGAGGTGGTTAGGATGTGTTACGAATGCCTAGTCATCGCCTTCCTCGACAACGAGCAATGTTAGCTGACATAGGGCCATAAGCTGGAAAAGAGCTAGCGGCGGTGAAACGAAAACATGGCACCAGTCAATGAAATCCACAAGGTAGTTTAAGCCATATAGGAAGGTGTAGACTTCCCAGTTGGGGTCCTCGGGACAGTAAAAACCAATGGCTGGAGACAATCAGTGATATGGTTAAAAATCGTTGTCAGTGGATGGCGCAGATGCATCCACTCCTTGTGACTTATAATTTCCAATGAAACTAAATTGTTCTTCGTTATTACCATTCCTTTTGTCTCATATTCCTGTCTACTGTCTCTATTTTTCATTTCTTCTACTTTCTTCTCTTGCTTTGTGTGCTACATGGAGGGAGTGTGGCGACTTGAACTGCTCTGCACATCGGTGCAAAGTTCTATGTTGAAAACAAACAAAAAAGTATCATCAGTCTTCAAGAAATAAGTGTGACTCACAGTCTGGTACATGAGTCCAATTTCAACTAAGTTGTAAAGAAAAAAAAACACTCATGTGGTTGATCATGCAAGCCTCCTAAGTTTTAAGTAATCTTATCCAACTAGTCGGTGCGTCGGTGGCACAGCGGTAGAATGGTCGTTAACCACGCAGGCAGTTCGGGGTTCGATCCCCGGCCGACGCACTCATATACCTCACTAAGCCAGTAATAAGATTGGTAAAGAGCGAGGGTTGGGCATGAGGCCAGCTAGCAACCCAATCCCGTAAAACTAAACACCACTGCTACCAAAACTTATGTTCCACTGGGAACGTGAAGGAATAAAAAAATCCAACTACTCAAAATACATGTTTGCATAATACTAATGAATTACTACTACACACTAGTGTTCCCAATATCAAACGTTCTGTTAAAGCCATTAGACAAAAATAGGATGTTTTGAAATTCCAACACATTTTGTTTCTATTATATAAAAAAGTGTGTAATACATAATGATAACAACAACAACATACTTTTAGTGCAGTTGGACGGTGAACTTCATAGTTTACTAAATCATTTATAGTCCATGCGAAACCTTGTTGATTCATATAACTGACAAACTGTTTGTTGAATGTGTTCCCCTCAACACCATAAAAGTAATCTACACCTTTCTCAGCCAATTGTTTTAACATCATTTGCAGATCGATTGATGATATGTAAGGTAATACACCACTGGTCAGTTGTTTTAAAATTGGTCTGAATTCTGGGGAAATGGATAGATTTGGATCATTTGCAGCTTGAATTAAAGATTCACTGGGCTTTTAGATTTGGGGGGGGGGGGTGTGGAGAAAAAAATGAAATAACTAGTCAGAGGTGAATTTATAAGCACAATTTCAATAGAGTATAAAGTTTTTCTCATTGTGTAGCAAAATTTCAATGAATTTACACATTAAACAGTGAAATGCATTTAGAATGTTTGAAGACATAGTTGATTCGTAGACGATGTGCGTCGGTGGCACAGTAGTTAGGACTCTCGCCGACCATGCACATGGTCCGGGGTTCGACCCCCTGCCGACGCACACCTGATATCTATGCTTGGCCTGCAAAATTTTGGCTACCGATATCACATGCTGAAAATTCCATACTTGTACCAAAAATACTGTGTGGTTTCAAGCTATAATCAAAAAAAAATATTAACATAAACAATGCAGTAACGGTAACTTCATGATTCAAGACAGACATTATCAACAAGGGATTTAGCAGTGCTGTATCTGCGATGAAACTATCACATCTCATATCTGACGAATAACTTAGTGAGAGAATCGTAACTAATAATAAAAAATAATCAAATATGCAATACTTAAGAAAGGAGGACAGATAGTAAGTGGATTTACGCTACTACGTGTGCTCCAACCTTGATTCTTATCAAATTCCTTACCGGCTTAATTATGCAACTCGGGCTAATACTGAATGAATGCCTAAGAATGGATGAAACACCTTGACTTGTTCCTGATTGAAAGTTATTTTAACACGTGGAGCTTTAACCAATTGATCGATAAAATACTCTGTCTCGTTGTTAGTCACACTTGTTCTGTACTACACTTCGTATATTTGTTCTTTTGGCCTTATCATAAGACAATTATTTTGAGTTTGGTCATAAACTGACTTTAGTTAGAGAACCATTGAAAACCCAGCAAGGAGTACTAGACAGCTGTTTTTTCTCTGTTTGGGACCCTTCGGTAATACACACACACATCACCTTAACACCGGTTGAACCCAGGACTCTTAGGTTACCAGGTTAGCTCGTTGACCGTGCGCACTCACTCGGACGGTGTTCAACAGACCATAAGTCCTAAATTCTGTCAATCCGCGACGTTTAGCGCCACCACAACCAGCCAATGCCTTCGGCGATTGTTTGTCCTCACACCCGCGACATGGTGGACCCCACTAGTCATAACTTCTCAATAGAACTCCAGGTAACTTTTTTTTTCGTGTATTCAATCAATCACTAGTGAACATTAAACTTATTTTCCAGGGTTGGTTTGTAGAGATTTGATTGATCCTGTCTTATTACTACTTCCTGGTTTTCAGTGGTTCTCTAACTGAAGCCACCTTGTGATCAAACTTCTTGAAATCGATTAAATCCCTGAAAACCAAAACTCTGACAATTATTTCATTCGATAAGAAGGAACAGGAATTTCAGTGGTGTGAAATGACTTCGCAACACACAACAGCACTTCAGTGTCGCAACATTATTATAATTATTCTCTTGAGTTCCTAGTGGAACATAGGGCTTCAACTACACGTCTCCACTTGCTTCTGTCTTCTGTACTGTGCTTTTCACCTGCATCCACGTTAGCCCATATTGCTTCAGCTCCTCTTCGCACGATCTCCTCCATGTCACCCTTGGATGTCCCACTCGCCGCTTCCCTTTCGGGTTCCACTCGAGGGCCTGACGCGCGATGTCACCCAGCGGCCTCCTCAGCGGGTGTTCAATCCATCTCCACTTTCTCCTGTATATTTGTTGAGCGATTGGTTCTTGTTTTGTTTGTTCCCATAGTTTCTTGTTGTTGATTCTTTCCGGCCATCTGATCTTCATTATAGAGCGAAGACAGTTGTTGATAAAGGTCTTCAACAAGCTGTTGGAAATATGCTTTGTGACACACTGGCCAAGTTTCTGATCCGTATAGAAGAACTGACTGACTTGACGTTTGTATTGAAAATCCGAATTTTGTTGTTGATGCTGAGTGACGAAGATTTCCAGATTGGTTTCAGGTTGATGAATGTGTTTCTCGCCTTCCCGATTCTGGATTTGACATCATCGTCCGTTCCTCCTGTGGTTGAGACAATGCTCCCTAGATAAGTGAATGAAGTAACCTCTTTCAAATCCCTCCCGTTGATAATGATTGGCGCTAGATGTTGCTGCTGTTGTTGTAGTTGGTTGGTTATTTTCATAACCTCCGTCTTGTCTATGTTCACCTGGAGTTCTGTCTTCTCTGGCTGCTTCTTCCACCAGTTTGTCGGTTTTCACTTGTAAGTCTTCGATTTTGTGTGACATCAAACATAAATCATCCACGCGCGAAATCCAGGTCTTCTAGGTTCTTCACGTCGGTCCAGGATATCCCTGTCTTCTCGTTTCCCACTGTTTGACGCATAATCCAGTCCACCACAATTAGGAATATCATTGGTGATAATAAGCACCCTTGTCTGACTCCTGTGTTTACTCCAAACGCCTCGCTGAGTTTCCCGTTGTGGATCACTTGACATGTGCCGTTGTCATGTCACAACATGGTGAGTACAAATGTGCAATTAAACATCACAGCTTTTAATTCAAATATGCTAAAAATTGGACAACAAAGATGATTAGCAAACAGGAAGTTGCAACAAATACGTTTAAAGACAGCAAAAACAATACGTCGAACAGGTATCATTTTTTATTTCATTAGGAGAGAATGAATCAACTGAACCTATGTGTTCTCGGAAGGAATCAATTCAGCCATTTTCCTTAATGGATTATATGAGCCTGACAATACCCCTTTTCCCTTTAGCCATTTGCTAGTTATTATTATTTTATGTATCATCGATTATTGCGTAAATTTTCTTATAAATAGTATACATGCCTTTGAACTGTGATCTATTGATCTTAACAACTTCGTGTTATTTAGAGGACATCAATGTTACCCAGAAGGTCCTGGGTTCAAACCCCGGTGGGTACGTACTACTGAAGAGTCCCAAACTAGGACGAAACAGATGTCCAGTACTCACAGGTTTTCCAATGGTTCTCTAACCAATGTCAGCTCATGATGAAATCCTGTAACCAATCAACCAAATCCCTACAAACCAATACTTGAATAACAATTATTCTTTAAACCTTATGCATATGTATACAACTGGAGCACCTAATGAGGAAGTTATCGAGAAGAACATACTCCAGTCAATCTGTTTGTCTTCTAAATGTTTAAATGGGGATTTTCGCTATGATACCAGAGTATCTTTAGATGCTTTTCGTATCCCACACATGAATTAATTGCTACCTTAGGCATACTTTGATTGGACACTAGGCAGTAACTAATTTTCATGAGTCGAATCCATCGTTTAGTGCAATGTGGTGGTCACTATACTAGGTGGCTTACCATCACAGTTGGTTAGAGGCAATCAGTAGGAAGCCTCGGACCTAAGTTTCGTACTTGTTGGCACTTATCAACAGTGTGTATCCGAAATAATAATACATGATGCTAAATTTTAATGAAATCGACAAAACAGTAATCTTACACGCATAAAGACTGCAAAAGACATCAATCTAAAGCTTACCTTGAAACCATTTGTAGCCAAATCGATTGCTCCATGAAAAAGATCAGACCATTTCAAAGAACCAAATTGTTTGTGCATTGCCGCAAGACCACGCACAAGTGCAGGAATACCTACTAGGCTTGCATGGTTACTTCTATTCGGTTTATCGATGTCTGCGACATTATTACGAACAGGACAGGAGAAGTCGAATAAATGGCTTGTCTGCTTATTGCGATCACGAACCATCATAGCACCACAACCACCCAAACCTGTATTCAGTATACAAATGTAAAAATATCGTTTATGTGGAAAGCAGATATCTGGGTGGCATTACATTATAACCTAACTTAGAGACACTATACAAACAGATAAAAATAACATAAGACCCGATGTAATAACCCATCATCAGTCCAAATCAGAACACTAAATTAAAAATCAGCAAAAATGGACGTGAAAATAATGCCGAAGGTTATGAAAAGCTATAAAACAAAAAGGAAAAAGGGGAATTGTATTAATGACACCTAACATGCAAAAAAGCATCCAATGGAAAAGAATATTTAGATTATGGGTTTTCATAGGGATTAGGATTCATTTCAATGTTGATTTCGTCCTTGATTTTCAATGATCACTAACCAATGTTGGATTGTAACGCAATCAACATTGAAATTAATTCAAGTCCCAACAAAAACTTCTTTGACGGCAACTGGATAGGTGTCCTGAAGCTGTACTGAGAAGTGACCAGTAAAAGTCCACCACATCAAGATCAAAATGGATGCTCATCGAAGGCATTGGCTGAGGGTAGCGCTATATCTTGAATTGACAGAAGTTAAAATCTATGGGTAATCGAATTCCGCCTTAAGTGTCTAAACAGTGAACGAGTTTCGTTTCGTAACTTGAAGGTGGTGCGTTCTATCCCTGGTGAGGTCGTCGGCGTGCATTGTTGAAGAGTCACAAACTAGGACGAGACTGCTGTCTAGTACTTCCTGGCATCCAATGATCTGTAACTGATGTTGGTTTGTGGCAAAATCAATATTGGAAAAGAATATGCTACATAAAACGACGAATAACAGTGTTCAACAATTCTTGGTTGATGCAACAAAGGTTAACTGTCTAATGAACTACATATAATATAAAAGTTTTACCACATCTTATTGAACATGTATAGCTATAAAAACCAAGAAAGAAAATGAATAAAATATGCATTAACCTAAAATAAAATACCAGACTTATGAATGACAGCTAGGAGTGAACTAAACTGCATCACTTATAATGAATGAAGGTATATGATGAATTATTAATAAACACTAATTTAAACTTACTTGCTACATCCGGACGAGTTACAGTTAAACATATTACAGTTGACACCATTGCATCGATAGCATTTCCTTTATTTCTCTTCATAATATTTAAACCAACTTCTCCACAGAAGTCATCATCAACCACTACAGCTCCATGAGGTGCAACCTTAATTAAAAATTAACCAACTGAAAAAAATGTTGTTACCTGAGGTTGCCCGAAAATAATACTTAGAATTAAGGCTATAGTTATAGCAGCTGATAAGATAATTACAGACACCACGACAATATTTACACCTTCTAGTCTCCATTTTCGACTGGACTTTCTCGACGAATCCTTCAGGATAGTTTCAGTATCTTTATTGACTATGTACTCATTGTCATCACCAAAAGGAGGGCGAGTTTTAGTGACTTCCGATTCAGTAAGTTCAATATCCTGAGGCTTCTCTTCATACTTGCTTTCCATCCCAGAAATGAATAATGTGACAATGAAACCAGAGATCACAGCAACTAACAGTAATTACAGATCAACCTAAAAATAGGGTAGTCATTAAAGAATGAGTGAGTAAAAAATAACATATTACTCAAAATAATAAACTTGGCAATTCTTAAAGAAATTCGAAAGTCCTGGGTTCGAACCCCGGTGGGTGCGCACTACTGAAGAGTCCCAAACTAGGACGAAACAGATGTCCAGTACTCCCAGGTCTTCCAGTGGTTCTTTAACTGATGTCAGCTCATGATGAAATCCTCCATGCAATCAAACAAAATCCCTACAAAACCAATACTTGAAAACTCCGTAAATGTTGTACTATCTCCTTTAGAATCATTCGGACACTAAACTCAGATTAGTGAAGCACGAAGATAATTTTAAAAAATGTATCAAAATCGTTCGGTCTGACTGAAACAAATGCGCAGTCATAAAATGAGAAATTATACGCAGATTTTAATGATCAGCTTAAGTGAACTTAAGATAAAACTGGTAGAGAAAAAACACTGGAAAATATGGAGAATATTTGAGCAAAAAATATCCTTTTCGATAATTTCCTCTTCTGGCTCTACAACTACATATATATTATTTATTATTCCCTTGAGTTCTGAGTGGAACACAGGAATTCAACAACACATCTCCACTTTGTCGTATCTTCTGCCGTCTTCTTCAGCTGGGTCCATGATTGCCCACAATCACTTATCTCCTTCTCACACGATCTCCTCCACGTCACTCTCGGACGACCCACTCGTCCCTTCTCGTTAGGATTCCACTCGAGGCCCTGGCGCGCGATGTCATTCGACGGTTTCTGCAATGTATACCCAATCCATCCATCTTCACTTTCTCCTACATATTTGTTAGGCGGTCGGCTCTTTGGTTGGTTGGTTTCCACAGACTCTTGTTACTTATTCCTCCTGGCCATTTGATCTTCAGTATGGAGCGAAGGCAGCTGCTGATGAAAATCTGCAACTTGTTGAAAATCCTTTCCTTACACGCCAAGTTTTTGACCCGTATAGAAGGACCGACGTGACATTGCTGTTGGAAATCCGAATCTTGTAGTTTATGCTGCGAAGTGCAGAAGATTTCCAAACTGGTTACAGATTGATGAATGCGTATCTTGTCTTTCCGATTATGATTTTGACATCTTAATCCGTTCCGCCTGCAGTCAAAACGATGCTTCCTAGATGAGTGAAGGAGGCAACCTCTGTTACACGTATACACAGAATATTTCAGAATACTCGTCATTAACAATATTGTTGTTTTTAAATATTCTCGATTTGTTAAGATCAATGAAATTACAGTTCAGAATAGACGCTTAAGTTATAATAAGCATAAGAACGCAATGGCAAATGGAATATCAAATAAAATTAAGGAAATTTTCACAACAAATTGAGGATCGTTAAAACCTTTATGGCCAAGGTTAGGACAGTGTCTGAACCAACTTCTTTTGGATACATACGTTAGGTTTCTTAATGTAGATCTCAACAGCTTCAGTAATATATATTAGACGAACTCTTAAGGTAAAGTTAAGATTAATTCCACTATGGACAAAATTTATTTTGATAAAGTCACACAGTGTTATGCAGTTATATTTACTGATGACGTTTCAAGAACAATTTATTGCTCATATTCATATCAAGGTACTCACACAACTTTTTTGTTTTTTTATATGCATGAGTAAAAATTGATTAGACATATGTTAAGACAAATTTTATCCACAATGCAATTATGCTCAAAATCGTTGTCAATGGCGCAGATGTATTCAGTCCCTGTAATCTTTCATATTCCTTTCTACCATTACTCATTCTGTTTCACTCTTATACTTGTCAAAACTCTATTGATTCTCTTCACTCATTTTCTTGTCTACCTTTGTGTGCTCTTTGGAACGTGGCAACTCGAACTGCTGCACTTCAGTGCCAAGTTCTATGTTGAATCCAGCCAGCCAGCCAGCTCTACCACAGTGCCCAAGTTTTATCCTTATATCAAAGTTAAGATTAGTTCGTATGTCGTAGATGACTTTGAAAGCTTCGTTAACATCAATCTTGTGTTCTGTATCCATGAGATGAGATAGACTAGAGCTATGAATGGATTTTGTTTGTCCCTTACTTAACCACACAGGATGGTGATTGGAAATCTGACGATAAACATGCCTAATGGTATGGCCTATGTAGCTGACTCCACAGGAGTAGTCAAACTGGTAGATACACATAGAAGAGGCGAAATTAGGCAGATTTTCTTTTACTTCCGAATTCAAAATAGGGGTGGTTTTGAAGACAGTATAATTTAGCAGCGCTGAATGCCCTTTATACCGCATTCCTTAGGCGTTGTTAATATCTCACTGATGTTATCCCCGAGGAACTGAAGTTGTAAGAATAAGGCTTTTCCGGAACTGTTGGTACTTTGGCCTGCCTTGACCTTGCTTCATATTCTTATCGATGAATTTTTCTGGGTAACCGTTCCCACTCGCAACTGTTTAATAATATTAAGCTCTTCATTAAGACATTTATCAGAGCAGATTGCTCTTGCTCTGTTCACTTTATTAGATTGCGTTCGTATTTCAAAGGCACGAAGCTGAAAAGTGAGCATACTAACCAGTTGATACAGGCTTTCTGTGTGCACTTCTTATTGTACCGTCCTCTTTTCTAGTCATAAGGATGTCTAGGAATGAAATACTAGAGTCTCTTTTTTTCTCAATGTTAAAACTTATCGCAGGATGAACATCGTTAAATTTGTCCAGGATGTTCTTTGCTTCATCCCCATTTTTCATAATCGAAAATGTATCATAAATGTAACGACATTATAATTCTAGTTCATCAATTACATCTCTCAAAGGCCCATTCTCTAGCTTTTCGATTAGAATGGGTCCTAGTGGTGACCCCTTTGCCACACCGTCAATTTGTCTGTATGGTTTCTTATTAAATAAAGTGGACATTCATTGTGCATTTCAAAAGAAGCTCTTTTATAAAAGATATAGGAGTGCCGACATCGATGTTTCGTCTAATTAGTTCTTCGCATACAAAGTTTACTGTTTCCATTAGTGTACGCTGATGAATAAGGAAGATACGTCAAATGATATCATGAATTTGTTGTCCACATATAAATCTTTTATCATTTCAACAAATCCAAATGTGTATCTTACGCTGTTTCACCAATTCAGTATAGAAGTAGTCCCAGATGAGTCCCACCGCGTGCACTTGATTCCAAGAAGTCTCTAGCTGTCGTTTTGAGTCATGTAGGGAAGTGTACACTATTTTTCTAGGGTTCTCGAGACTTAAGGACCAATGACTACAGAATGTTGGTGATATGACTCAAAATCGCCCTAAATCATGCATATACATTCACTCCTTGTGATCTTTGGGATTCTAAAATTCATTAATTCTTTACAGAAAGTAGGTTCAAAGGAATAACAAAAGGGCTAATAAATTGCAGGCAAACGACTGACTAAGCACACCTCCTAAAGACACACTAATGCTTCAAATACCTCACCTGAGATTGTGGCTTCAGTTTAATGATACTCTTTTTGGAAGAAACTGCATTTCCGGAGATTTTTTAGTGCAAATACTAAGGAAGGTCGGCTTCACACTGTTTCATCCCCTGAGTTTTCAAAAGTAGCATAGTTATGGCGTTTCGGTTGTCAGGTGGGTTAGCTTGTGACTCAGAACCAACTAAATTTACTCCCATCTGACTTGAAAATAATTCAGTACATAGTGCTGCTATCAAAGTAAATGTTCATCTATGTAGAAGGTGAGAATAAGCTAAAGGAACGCCGTATTGATTCAAAATAAAAAATTATGTGATTAGCCGCAAATGAAGTGTTAGTTTTGCCTCTACTTTTAGGGTCTAGGGTTAAGGTTAACGGTTATGTTAGAGCTAGAGATTATACTAGCAAGTTGGCGTTAAGGGTGAGTTAGGTTTAAACTAAGGTAAGAGTCAGGGGCCAGGGTGTCACAGAGTCGTCCGAATAAATAAATAATAAACAGTTTATCAACAATCTAAGAGGGCAACGGAGAAATTTATTCGGAATGCTTTTTAAAGGTCATCCATCTATTCTTTGAGTAGTTTCGTTTTGGGCTGCTATAGTTTAGAGTTACCCCTAAGACTTGGTTGGTATTCATAAAATGATTCATCTTTAGATGAAGAAACCTGATAATTATAGTAACTATACCACATGATCGTATAATCCCATGTCAATAGAATCTATCCAGTAATTTGTCTTTAAAGGTTATAAATTCATATGTTAGTTAATAAGTTCTAATACACATGGATATACAATTAACTAGCAAAAGCTGTAAATTGAGTAGTCAAACCTTCTTTGTAGCAACCTTAGCGTAAGTCCCGCGAAAGTACAATCTCCAATATCCAATGTTGTTTTTAGGAGATAGTATTAACCAATTTGATTTCTTTGTGCTCTCCTCTTGATTGTGAGGTAAACTTCCGCGTAACTTGTCCCGCAACTCGACTGTTGTAGCTTTGGTTGATTCCAAAAGGAGTAGTGCAGGGATTAATTATATGTGGTTTGTAGTATGAGGTGTGTTAAGATTGTTACTAATATGAATGGAGTTGATCCTTTCACCAGTTAGTCCTCCGGCATCGTCGTCAAAAAAAAGAGATAATAATAACAATAATAGATATAATTAGTGAAGTTATTCAGACTAATAGACAAAAAAAGAATAAGAAAACGTAACAACAGTTAGCTGATTAAATTTGATGATTGATATGAACAATATATATGTATATCGGTAATAATGATCATAATAAGTGTATTGAAAGTTGTCAGGAGAGTAAGACAGGAGTATGTAAAGAAGTAAAACGACAAGTTTAATTGTCTACCCCTGAATGGTGTATGCGATTTTAAGGGGATAGGCCATTTAGATGCAGTACTTGTGTGGCTGCATGGTTGTCCAGCCTCCGCTTAAAGGTGTCCACAGACGGTGCCATAGCCACATCTGCCGGTAAGGAATTCCAGGGACAGCAAACCCGCAGTGAAAAGAAGAGGGAGCGCACCCGAGTCCTTGTCCACTGATGAGCTATCCTTCTGCGATTTCCACGAGGGAGCCTATTCCTACTCAATGGCAGAACACCTTTGTTTGGGTGATTCTGGTCATTTGTTATTTTGTAGGCAGTAATGAAATCCCCCCTAAGACGACGGTAGCTTAGTGTGAATAGGCCTAATTTCTTCAGCCTTCCATCATATGGTTTATTTCGGAGACCAACCACTCCTTTTGTTGCCCGTCGTTGGACTCTTTCCAAGAGGTTGGCGTCTCTTCTAAGCAGTGGGGGTGCAATAATATTATGCACTTCAAGGTGCGGTCTGACGTATGTTTTATACAACCTTAGAAAGAGCTCAGGAGTGAGTGCACCTAACTGTCTATGTGTAAAGTGTATGACCGCATATGCCCTCGCTACATCCCCCGTGTAATTTACGCTTGTGTCCATTTTCTCCGTTAGAACTAGACCTAAGTCAAGTTCCGACGTTGTGCAGGACAAGCTTTCATTGCACAGGGTGTAACTTGCATTCTGCAGTCTACATGTGCGTAACTTCACTACTTTGCACTTTTTCAGGTTGAAAGTCATGCCACTGGCCACCACCCAGTCTTCCAGGAGCTTTAGGTCTGCATGCAGCCTATCTGAGTCCTACGGACACTTTATCGCCCTCCATATCTTTACGTCGTCAGCGTACAGAAGAGTCGGGCAGCTTAGAAGGCATGGCAGAGCATTGATAAAAAATCAAAAACATCAGTGGTGCTAGGATAGAACCCTGCGACACTCCTGATGACGAGCTGTGCCAAGATGATCGAACTCGATTGACCTAAGTGCAAAATTGCCTTTCAGCTAGGTAGTCCTTTAACCATGACAGAAGTGGCTTATCTATACCTGCCTGACTTATTTTGTGTAGGAGAAGTTCATGGTGAACTGTGTCGAATGCCTTCTCAAAGTCTAGGAAGATCAAATAAACTGGAACATTCATATCCCAGCATGATGTCCAATTGTCCCAAGCTGATAATAGGTTAGTAACGCAGTATCTGCATTTCCTGAAACCGTGTTGGGCTTCATGAAGTATATTAGACCTATCGAGATATTCCCTGATGTGATCGTCAATAATACTTTCCAGTACTTTTGATACCACTGGGAGTAGAGCTACTGGTCTACAACTAATGGCATTTTGCCTATCCCCACCCTTGAAGATCCGAGAAAGGATGGCTCTTTTCCACTCTCTTGACAGTTTCCCCGATTCCATTGAGTGTTGGAGCAAATCGCATAAGGGCCTACAGAGAGCTTCGGCACACTGTTTCAGAACAGGTGGCCTGATGTCTTCACAACGTGGGGACTTCCCAGGTGTGAGTCGCTGTAGCTTCCTTATTACTATTGCGGGGTTTATTTATATATTTATATAATAACTTATCCATGCCTGTACAATTGGTATGTTCCTGCATAAACAGGAATATATATATTTCGGGAGTAGCAACTAGGTCTACCTCCTGTGAACTGAACGTTGCAGCCATCTCCAGACTAGTGAGATACTGACCGTTTGGGCCTACTAAGGCGCATGCCTCCTGGTTGGTTGGTTGGTTTTCTTTCCGAAATTAATCGGCACAAATTTTTGGGGTTTGCTAGGATTTTTTAGCCTGGAATGACCTCCTGTCCCTCCTGACTCTTGCATTGCACTGGTTCCTGATGTTCCAGGTATGCATCGTGGTCGATCTGACTCTTAGGTACGCACCACGTAAACCAAGCCTTCCGCTTTGCTTGCAGAATATGTTGCGTGCCTCTCTTTAACCATGATGATTTTCTTTTGGGCTGTGTTGTGACTAAAGGGACGGTATCCGAGAATACTGTATGAATAATCTTTTTTACCACCACCCAGTGTTCATCCACAGATAGCTCATCTCATGCTTAGGGCCAGTCTGCGTCGGACAAGAGCCTCCGCATTTCAGCATAGTCAGCCTTGCTGTAACACAGACATGGTCGCGTAACGTCTCACTGCAAATGTTCACAGAGAAAGAGATCGAAACCTATGACTGCATGGTCACTACTTCCTAGAGGAGTCATGATCTGGACCTTTTCGACAAGTAGTTGGTCACTAGTTAGAATGTAGTCTAGTTTTGATGACTTTCGACTAGGGCCCCACCTAGTGTCGTCTCCAACATTCTCAGTCACTCCCGTGTTTCGAAAAGTTTGCAGTAGACTTCGGCCAAATTTTCCCTCAGCATACCCCGAGCCAAGGTTCAGTGATGGGGCATTGAAATCTCCAGCAATGGTGATTTGGTCATAGCCCAAGTCTCGTATCCCTGTGATAGTGCTGAGCAGTAGCTGATTGTGCTCTGCCCCATAGGTGGTTGACCGGTAGATGCCACCCAGTAAATGCTTGTTGTGGCCTACAGTGAAATGACACCATAGGGAGTCTGGGAGTTCAATATGTGGTGAGTCCGTTGCGCGCACACACTTAAGTGGCCTGTCAAAGCATATAGCAACTCCCCCTTCCTTATTATCCCTGTCTCTCCTGACCAGAACCATATCACCTATACTGATTTCGTTATCGGCGATAGTGGAAGTTAGCCACGTTTCGGTGAGAATGATCATTTTCAGTTGTAGGTGTGCTTGGAGATCTCGGAGTTCACCTATTTTTCCTCTAAGCCCAGTCGCATTGCTATATGAGCAGCTGACAGTGAGTCTAACAACCTCAGCGTGTTGTGGGGTAGTTGACGTGAAGCTGTCTGCCGGTAGGGGACTTAATGTTGGGACTAGTTGACCGATTCCGATGGAACCGGCCCGTTGTAGTTTTTTCCATGGATTTAGGCAGGACAATTGGGTGACACAGACTGTTATTCTCAGAACTGCATCGTTCTAATGTCACTGAAGCTTGGGGACGTATTAAAGCCTCAGTTTGCTACCTCTTTATGGTTCGAGGTCTGCTTTCGCAGCATCGGATGTGTCCCCCCATTTTTCCCTTGGTCTCATACCACCGTTGAAGTGCTATGGCCAAATGCTCCGGGGAGTTGAATGTGACACTTAGCAGCTTTGGGGAGCTAATCAGTGTGAGATGAGAGAGGCGAGGTAGTCGGGAAAGCCAGATGGCTCCAGAAGCGCCAAAATCAATATGAGATGACAGCCAACTCCATTGCTGTACGTCATGCATGTGTTTTTCACAAGAACTGCACGTATTGTCAATCAGTCGTTTTCGGAGGACATCTACTGGTAAATCATGATGATTAAGTAGGTCCGTGCGAATGATAGGCATTGTGACGTCAGCGAGAAGGAAAATCCACTGAATAGGTTTGCGTAAACCTACGTTCAGATAGACGTATTTCCTACGAAACGTTGGTTTTCCATTTTCAGCCTGTAAGTTGAAGGTAGGTTCCTTCTGTCAACCTACTACTGTTGCAGGAAGGACGCTGACTTCTGTGCCTGTGTCGACTAAGTATCGGGTCTGGCTGACCACATCACGAATGTAAAGTAGGCGGCTAGTGCCACCGGCGACGGTTGCCGCTAACGCGTGCCGGCAGGATAGTTTCCCACAGACTTTGAGACATTGCCGAAATTACAAGGTTTTCGGCAACATTCCGCTTCCTGGCCATAGGTGTGGTGGTACCAGCAACAGTCAGGGCTTTTTGTTGAACATCGTTTGGATTTAGATCGGCCACGTGTGTTCTGCCGTTGAGGGGATGGATTTAGGACGACGGTAGGAGGAATTACTAGGCATGTTTGACCTAAGCATCTGCTGGATGGAGTTGCACAACTCTATTACTGCAGTATCCCTACTCGAAGCCTGTTTGGCAACTGAGCATATTTCAGTAACTGGCCGTTTAGTTATTTCTAGAATTTTATCTGG